GCTGGAGATGTTATCCAGATGTCTCCAGAATCCAACCTCACATCTTAGTTATCTTTGGAAACTTTGGGCTGTCCGCTAGAATTTGAAATAAAGCTCTGTGGCTTTGAATAGTGTTTTACTGTACAGTAGGAGTTTGTAGTGACTGGCAGCTGCTTGTTTTAATGATCCATGTTGCACTTTACTGCACAGTATATGAGAATGTTTCAAACTGTAAACCTTGACAACCCCTCTTCATCTTCTGTCTGTCTTTCTGTCAGGGGGAGGGCGTGGCGTATCGAGGTCGGGTTTTACTAGAGCTAACCACGAAACTGGTGGACAAGCCAGAACAGAAAACAGAAGACATCCCATCAGATGATCTGCTCATTGTGGAGGTAAGAGGAAAGGAGGATGTTAACCTGAAGATATAGGAAGATAGATTTCTAATCCATCCATCTATCGCACCTTTTCAGTCTTTTTCTCCCTCTTACAGAAGTTTCTCAGGAAGAGGAAGTTCTCACTCTTCGTAGCATTTTACTCGGCCACACTCCTCCAGGATGTTGATGATGCCATCCAGTTTGAGGTCAGCATTGGTAACTACGGCAACAAGTTTGACCACACCTGTCTCCCTCTGGCCTCCACCACCCAGTACAGCAGGGCAGTGTTTGACGGTAGGTCAAAGGTTTCAAATCAGAGGTCAAAGGTTAGGTCATAATTGGTGCCAGTGAAGTCCACGTGAAATCTCCAAACATTTAAATTTGTAGTAAAGACAAACCTTTAGGAAGCACTGGTTTAGAAGATCTTATCGAACTGTATTTTAAAAAATTATTATACTTATACTATAATACTTTTATTTAATCCTGGTTAGTTTGCTGCAAAATGTTACTGATTGTTCAGGATCATCATTTTAAAAACAATGATTTGATGATTTTCATAATAATATTGTTGCTAACTTTACCATTTATGCACGTGTGTGTGTGTGTGTGTGTGTGTGTGTGTGTGTTCCAGGTTGCCACTACTATTACCTCCCGTGGGGAAACGTTAAGCCGGTGGTGGTTCTGTCTTCAGAGTGGGAAGATGTCAAACCGAGGATTGAGGCTCTCAACATGCTGCTGGCAATCACAGACAGACTGGTGCGAACTATTTATACCTTCTTCATATGTAGAGCATTCACCACCTTAACATGTTTGTGTGTGTGTGTGTGTGTCCAGGAGGCAAACCTGCAGCGGGTGCAGCTGGAAGTGAAGGCAGGCAGTGACCTGGAGGAGGTGGAGCTGCGAGTGGTGGAGCTGTTGGATCAGCTCATCGCAGACTGCAGGTAACTCTTGTGTAATGTTAGTCAAGGCTTGTGTATGTAGAAAGCTATGAGTAAAGGTCATTCGTCTACATAACCTTTAGTCATAACTTTATCAGATAACATTCAAACAGACCTAGACAGAAAAGTGTTGTTCTTTGTAGTGTCATCTTCTCTTTTTGCCTTGCAAATTGTTAAATTATTTACTGAAGTACTTTTACATTCACCCACTTGAAGCACTGAACAGTTACTGTATTTCTGTTTTGTCTTTCTCCCTCTCTGTCTCCAGTGAAGAGCTGCCCTCTATTGACCAGTGGCAGTGTTCCACCCCTTTGGACCGCTCCCTGAGACACATCCGTATTTTGCATCTGCAGCAGATTGTTGCAGCAGCACTCGCTCTCAAACACGGACCGGCCACTGAGCTCTCCACAGTGCTGGAGCAGGCTGAGGACTGGGTCAACAGATTGAAGACCATGGCTGAAGAGGTGAGTGTGTTTCTATGCTCCCAGCCAGCTTCACATGGACTTTTGTAGTAATCAGTTAGAGCTGCTTACAGTAGCTGGGTTAGAGAAGTAGGCTATACAAGGTAGGTAACCGTCTTGTACCACTATGGTGCCACCTACACAATTAAAAGTGAATGCATCATTATATTAGTGCATAAACACATACACTACCCTATGTCTTTTGTCCAGCCCCAGAACAGTCTTCCAGATATAGTGATATGGATGCTGCAGGGTGACCGCAGGGTGGCGTACCACCGCATCCCAGCACACACTGTGATCTTCTCCCAGCAGCACTGTGGGAAGCACTGTGGACAGCTGCAGACCATCTTCCTTAAGGTACACAGGCACACACACATGCATTTTGTTTTCAGTAGTAGGGTGTGACTGTCCTGTTATATGTGTGCTGTTCAGTACCCACAGGGCAACGGTGGAGAAGCCAAACTTCCCGGTCAGCTGAGAATCAAAGTGTGGTTTGGATTGTCTGCAGATGTCAAACACTTTAACCAGTACGCTGAAGGAAAACTGTCTGTCTTTGCTGAGACGGTAAGATGCACACAGTACTGCTGCTGGATGTGAAGATGCAAAGATCCTGTGCACTGTATATACTCTCCTGATTTATTTTTATGGATGTATATTTATACTGGACCATGGTTACAACAACTAGGATGATGCCAATCACAACAGCCCAGCTAAATGTCTCTCTCTCTCTCTCTCTCTCTCTCTCTCTCTCTCTCTCTCTCTCTCTTTCTCTTTCTGCAGTATGAAAACCAGACCCGACTCGCCCTGGTGGGCAGCTGGGGAACCACAGGTCTGACCTACCCCAAATTCAGCGATGTCACTGGAAGAGTTAAACTGCCCAAAGAGAGCTTTAAACCCTCTCCTGGCTGGGCCTGGGCTGGTGACTGGTACATCAGCCCAGTGAAGACGTAAGCCTGCACGTGTGTGTGTATGTGTGTGTGTTTCTCTGATGAACATCAGAACAGCACACATTCTTTCATCTTTCAGTCACTATTCTTGTCATTTTTTTATCAGGTAATTCACGTGGTATGTGTTTCTGTGAGTATATGTTGAGTTCGAACTGTCAGTGAATAAGACATTGATATGGGAGTTTACACATGGGCTTTTAATGCAATGGACATATCCAGATTGTGCATGTGTATTCATGTGTGTGTGTGTTTCTGTCTGTGTTGATAATCCTTTAGAATGCTGTTTGATGTGGATGCTGGTCATATGACCTTCACAGACGAAGTGTTTGAAAACCAGATGAGGTTGCCAGGTGGACAGTGGATCTGTATGCCAGAGGGGTACACTGATGTGGTGCGTGTGTTTGTGTTTCTGGACATGTATTATAGCTTTTATGGTCTCTACTATATACAACTAAAATGTGTGTGTGTGTGTGTGTGTGTGTGTGTGTGTGTGCCAGAATGGGGAGAAAGCAGTGCCAAAGGATGAGGTGGAATGCCCTCCTGGTTGGGTGTGGGAGGAGGTGGAGTGGAGCGAAGATCTCAACAGGGCTGTGGATGATCAAGGTGCCCATGTGCAAGAAAACATCTCCTTCAAAAGCAAGAGTTAAATTAAACACAGGACTAATAAGTACCACTCTGTGTATGCACGTTCAGGCTGGGAGTACAGCATAACCATCCCCCCAGATCGTCGTCCCAAGTCGTGGGTTCCGGCAGAGAAGATGTACCACACCAATCGACGAAGACGATGGATACGGATGAGACGACGAGACCGGCAGAAGACGGATGCTCTCAGAAAAGTATCTATACAGACAGTTTTACATCATTTTTTGGTATTTTATTTGAAAATGGCAGTAGACCTACAGACAGGTTGCAGCTGTTTTTCCCCTTCCCTTGCCCTTCAATGTGCTTTCCTTGCTTAGTTCATCTAATAAACACATTCTTTAGCTAAATTTTCACCTCAGTCTTCAATTATCATCATATCATCTTCTACTGAGTAGTTGAAGTTACCTTAACTGACCACTAGAGAGCAGTCTAGTGGCACAAATGAACAACAGAGGATGAGCTTTTGCTTGCACCCCTGCCCCTTTAATAAATTCTTCTTCGTCATAACTTATGACTTTATGCCTTTGGTTAGAAAGATAACTAATGGACTACATTTGAAATTCATGTAAAAAAAAAAGTGGCTTAAACCTGCGGAGCACACACAAACCTAGTCCTATTACAACCCCAAAACAGAAAAAGTATGTACAGTATATAAAATCAAAATTAAAACTCAAAATTATAAGTCATCCATGTCCTGTATTACATTGAAAACAATACAGCAGCACATTATTTGATGTGACACCTCATCAATTTTGTGTGTGTGTTCACAGCAGCGTCCAGACGAGACAGAAAGAGAGGGCTGGGAGTACACCTCGCTGTTTGGCTGGAGGTTCCACCTGAAGCCAAGGAAGACAGACAGCTTCAGAAGGCGCAGGTGGAGGTGCCGCATGGAGCCGCTGGAGAAGACGGGACCGGCTGCCATCTTTGCCCTAGAGTGTTCTCTGGTGAGGAGGAGAAGCAAATGAATGTTTACTGATTCTCTAGATTTATCACATCCATCCTTTCATAATGGTAAATAAGATATACTACATGAGGTGACTGTGGTTCAGTGGGTAGAGCGATCACCTCCCACCCAGATGGTTGCAAGTTTGAATCACAGTCCACATGTTGAAGTGTCCTTGGGCAAGACACTGAACCCCAAGTTGGCGCCGCAGATGGCTGCCTCAGTTCTGTAACGAAAGCCTTGTGTGTGTAACATACTTGGCCAAATAAAGGTGATTATCCTTATTATAACCAAAAGTATGTAGACAGCTGCATTTTCTCCAATATATGAGTAACAGCAGCCTGGGAAGGCTTCATACAGAATTTTGGTAGATGGTTGCAGGGATTTGGTCCCATTCAATCAGAGTAAAGTCGGCACTGATATTAGGGGATATAGCCTGGCTTACAGCTGGGCCTTCCAATTCATCCCAAAGGTGCT